TTAAATAATGTTAATTACTGGGGCGCCTGAGTGGCTCAGTCGGTTAAGCATCTGACGTTGGCTCAGGTCATGATCTCACGGTTTGTGAGTTCGAGCCCCACGTCAGGCTCTGGGCTGACTGCTCAGAGCCTAGAGCCTGCTTCAGATTCTGTGTGTCTCCTTCTGTCTCCTTCTCCACTGATTGCACTCTGTCTCTCGCATTGTCTCAAAAATAAACATTAAAAACAAATTTAAAAAGTAAAAAAAATAGTCCCATACAGTATGTGTAGAAAATTACTGTTCTCTAGAGACTTTAAATCTGATCTAAGAGAGATGATATATCCACATGGCTGTAGCAGTTTGTGTAAAATACCTACAACTATGTTCTTTCTGGTTTGGAACACATTTCAAAAATGCACTCTAGGTCTTCCATAGGCCGAAAATCAGCCTTGTGTTTCTTGAAAAGTTGCATCAAATCCCTTTGAAGGTATACCCCCTTTCTTCTGGAGGAAGACAGCACACACCACTTCCTTAATGTTGTTATAATACGATTTGGGGGGACTTTGTGGGAATGCCACTGTTGTGAACACGGATCATGTTTTAGGTCTAGAGTGTCTGAGCCACTTTTCCTCCCATTTGTAGGGAAATGTAACCCCCTAATTTGGGCCCACTCTGTTCCAAAGTAACTGTTTAGATACACTGGATACCACTGATGTGAATTCTTAAGTAGGCACCAGCTGTTTTGGGGAGTCCTTTAGGTTGGCCCTTGAACTGTAAGTGCTTTCCACAGAATGGCGACTACCTCCCCAGCAGTACCACCTTGTAGGAGGAGGCCTCTCTTTGTTATTAGAGTGGCTGACTCACTTTTCAGTAGCCGTGTCACTTCACCAAGCCATGTAACTAATCTGTTAGTCACCTTACTGGGGTTTTCTGATTTTTCAAGTTGCTCCTGCTACTCACTTCTAGGTGACAGATGGCTACTGTTTTCTGAAGGGATGGGAGGACAAGAAGCTTTTTACTTTTTATAAAATGTCCTCTCTATGTGCTGTGTAGATGTCATGGTGAAGACAGCTTTCGTTCCCTGGAGAGCGTGTCTGTTGGGTGATGATTGTGGGAGAGGAGGATTCCTTCAGGTAGATTGCAGCATTCATACTATTTTCTCATACTCTCTTTGAATTTATTAGCAGAATAAATTAAGAATGGATTTTGAATAGTATGTTGTAGGGAATATAGATTTGATTGTGGATCTCTTCCTATAAGCATTTCCTAAGTTCTCTGGTTATTGTTTTTATAGTCTTAACACAACTAAGCATTACCAGGGTTGATACTTGTATCTGACTGCAAAGAATTATAGGCAGTGAAGGAGAGAGCTAGATAATGTAAATGGTAATTTAAATCTAGAAGTTAAAAGGTAGAGTTGGTATTCATTTGCCACTTAATGTCTTCTATAGCTAGCTTTGCAAATTCTGATGTATTAGGTGGGGGGGGGGGGGGAGTCTAAGTCTACTTTTCTAACAAACTTCCAGAGGATGCTGATGTTATTTTTATTCTGTCCAGGGACCATACTTTGAGTAACAAGAGTATAGAACAGTTAGGGCATATGCAAATGTAACTTTTAATAACAATAACCCTGTCTATTGAATGTTTTTTCTGTACCAGGCACAGAGCAGTAAAAGAAAGATAAGAGGATTGGCACTAGATAGAGTCTGACAACAGGGATTCAAACTGTGAAGCTCTCTTACCTTTACTAGCTCAACCAACCTTGAGCCAATTTCTCTAAGGCAGAATTCTCATCCTTGGAATTAATGACATTTTGGGGTTGAGGGAATTCTTTGGTGTAGAAGGCTGTCTGGTACTTTGGGTAATGTTTACTTAGCAGCACTCCTGGCCTCGACCCCCTAGGTACCAGTAGCACGCTCCCTCCGAGTTGTGACATCTAAAAAGATCTCCAGACATTGCCAAATGTCTCCCTGGGGGACAAAATCATCCTCTATTGAGAACTGCTCTAAAATTGTAAGGCTACAATTATAATGTGTGAATTGCGGGGATTTTAGGCTATTAATACACCTTCTATAAGCAACCGGTTTGCTTTATTGTGAAGCTTCTACAAAGACAAGACATGGACTAGCCAATCAACTGTATTTGCCAGTGCTTTATTTTTAGGAAGCATTCATTAGTCATTGTACCGTGGGAAACTATCAGAGATGACTTGGGATTTTTAGGTGGGTAGAATGAGCTTCTAACTGAATTCATCATGAGTTCCTACTTTTTTTGAAATATGCTGGCACGTTTGCTAACTTGTCCCATTTTCACTTACTTCATGCTGTTGCTATTCAAATGTTTGTAGTGTACTTCTTATCTTTTCATCTTCCCAACCTCTTACTCTCAACGTTTCCCCCAGGATATGAGAGCAGATAACCAAGGTTTTTAGAATTAAGCCTAAAATAAGACCTGAATTATGGCTTCTGTGTTTGTAAACAAGGGTCATCTCTCCCAATAATAATGTGAAAAACTGATCAGATAGAAATATAATCTTTAAAAGCACTGATTATAATTTCACCTTGCTTCCAGGATGTTCTTTAAAAATTGAAATGCATCTTCAGTTGCTGTTGAAATGGAAGAGCAGTAGTCTATATAGTAAGTTAGTATTGAGGATGGGAATGGGGGAGGACTTAAAAAACATGATTTTAAAACAAAACAAGGGGAGCTTGGGTGGCTCAGTTAGTTAAGCCTCTGACTCTTGATTTCAGGTCAGGTCATAATTTCATGGTCTTGAGATTGAGCCCCGCCATTAGGCTTTGCCTTCGGTGTGGAGTCTGCTTGGGATTCTGTCCTTGCCCCTTCCCCACTCTCTCTCTCAAAATAAATACACATCAAAGAAAAAAAAAATGAAGCTTAAACATTAGCTTATGTGATTAAGTCAGTCCAGAGAGCACATCAAATTATACATAAGACTGCTCTAATGACATTTTTTTCTAATTGGGTTTATTTTTTAAGGTTAAATGGCTTGTATTGATTGATTCCATTTTATGCTGTTCAAATTCTGTTAAATTACCAATTTAGTCTTTATAAGGCACAAGAACTATGATCTGTAGCTGCCTTGTCCCATGGTCACTAGAGGGAACATGGGTTTCAAGGATCAAGGGAAAGGCCAGTGGAGATGAGAGTCCTTGTCATTGAGTTACTTACTCAAGGGGTATGGTGCCCATCAGTCAGCAGGCACCTGTACTGTCACAAGAGTGTTATGATTCATGACAATCCCTGCCACTAACGTGAATGTGTCTGATGTCAGAAACCATTACAGAAATAAGAAAATACTGTGTCAAGAGTAGAAATGACTATTTTTCTTTTTTTAAAGTAAGCTCTATACCCAATATGGAGCTTGAACTCACAACCCTGAGATCAAGGGTCGTGAGCTCTACCGACTGAGCCAGCCAGGCACCCCGATTATATTCCTCAAAATGTTTGCAACAGCTCTATTTATTTTGACTAGAAGGAAAAAAGACTGAATCAAGGGCAGAATTTTTTTTCTTTTTGCCTCATATAAAAGTGTTTTTGTTACAAATGAACATTAATTTTCTAACAATCTGAAAGGCATGGTCTCCTTTCACCTTCTCAGTCTCAGCCTCATACCAAGATTCTAATCACAGTTACGTTGCAGCATGTTCAGACAGGGACCTGTATTTTTTGTTTCCATCTCACCTTAATTTCAACTCCATCTTTCTAATTACTTAAATTGATTAATAATTTAAATCACATGCCATTCTCAAGGGCAGTTCAACCAGTGTTAGAAACTGAAGTCCTATTTCTTATTGTGGAACTAAATAGTATCTTATAAGGGTGGGGACACAAGGTTGATAAAAGAATATACTGACCTGAGGGTAAAGCTAGTTAGTCATTTTATAGAGAAAAGGGTGGGGTGCTGGAACAGACCTTTCCCTGTACACGTGTCTCACACATTCTCTTGCTCCCAGTTCTCCTTCACAGTGGCCCTCTGAGAGTTGTAAACCACTCTCTCTACTGTAGGTCTCTCTACCCACCTTCCAGACCAGCAGGTCTAACTTTCCAAGTGAGAACCTGGAAGGGAAAAAAAAAGGCAAAGGCCTTGCAGGCCCCTGTAATTTTTGTTTCATTCTATGGTTAATAAAATGCTTATGACAAAAAGTTACATGAATGCCTCCAGTAACAGCTTTAAAGTAAGTATCTAAGGTGTTTATTAGGCAGCAATGCTTCGTCCTTCCAGTGGATGCTCAGATCCTTCACTAGACCCACCAAGTCCCCTGGTTGAGGACCTAGAGGTTAGGGATCCATACTTGTTTAGTCTTCTCCAGGGTTCCTGTTGCATGCTTTACCATTTTATGGTATAAGTAAATATGGGGAAAGGGATAAATTAACATCTCAACTGTAATATTTAGAGAACCTGATTATAGAATTTTATATACTGAAATGCAAATTGAGTAACTTGTCATTGGATACATGGTCATTCTTGTGCTCCTCCCACTCAACATGGTTTATAATGTAAAAAGTACTGCAATCCATCGGACTCCTTTTAGGGTAAGATTATGGAAATAGAGCAAGGAACAAGAACCCCCGTCAGTGGGTCAGAAATGAAACTTTGCGCTTAAAATGGTCATCAGAAATTACTAGCTATGAACAAAAACAACTAATATTTCACTAATTTAATTCTGTGTGCTGAAAAGTGTTTCTTTTTAAAGTATCATTTACATTTTTTATGATGTATTGAGGAGAGGGTTGAGAATTGAGGAATTTCTTGTTTATCCACGGCCTAAGTAGGCTTAGAATGGTTTAAACATTCTTTATCATTCCATTTACTTGACCTAAGGCTGATGGGTTTGTTGCAGTCCAGAATCAGACTGTCTGAAAGACACTTCTGTTTGGTGGAGGGAATCCACACATTAAAACAAAAAGGAAGAGAAGAGGTCATCTTTTTTCCTTAAATATCCTCTAAAATTTGGATGGTGCCATACTATCTGCTTACCTTTTGATGTATTATTTCACAGTGCTGGTCCCAAAGGCGATAACATCTATGAATGGAGATCAACCATTCTAGGGCCTCCAGGATCCGTGTATGAGGGGGGTGTATTCTTCCTTGATATCACTTTTACACCTGAATACCCCTTCAAGCCTCCAAAGGTAAGAATTTCCTGATTTATATTCAGATTTACATATTCCCATGAGAAACTATTGAAGTGTTTAAAATTGAGTTTTAATCACAAGAGATTTCTCTTGTCTCTTAATGAATCTCTAAGTACATTAGGATGGACACAAGACACTGCAGGGGTGGGGGGGCAGCTTCGCCACTTGGCAGAGACCATTTCTAGAAGTATGTGCTTCGTTTTGATGGTGCTTAAAATCCTGCTGTTTATAGTGACATAGCAACTCAGAATTAATCCCGTTTTCCACTCAACAGAAAAGAAGTTACTGTCAAAGTATCCATGTTTCTCGTCCTTTTTTGGTCTCGTCACATTCTTAATCTCCAGGCTTCAGTTTTCTCATCTAGGATCCTATCTCCCGTGACACTCTATAATCTATGATTCTCATTTACTAAATGATAATTTTTACTTTGGAATTAGGAAACAAAAAAAAAGCAATCCAGGCTCCCATGGCTTGTGTTGATTTGTCTACTGCTGGCTCCTCACCTGTTGAGACTCCATTATAGTGAATTCTGTGACCTAGGTAGACAGGATATCTGCAGGATATAATGTAAAAGTCAGAAAAAGCAGAAGTAAATCTCATCTTCAGTTTTCTTAACAGCCTTTACAGCTAAGAATTTTGTTTATGTTCCCACTATGTTGTCCCTCAGTTTGAATTTATTATACAAAGCTTACTTTGAGGCCACGTAGTACTACCAGCTAACACAAGAGGTCAGCAAACAGCTATTTCAAACTTGAAAAGTTAGGAGAATATTTAAAACACTGAAACTGCTAAAGATGAATTTGAAAAATATTGAAATTACCTTTTTGTTGAGTAACTTTTGACCTGTGATTGTTATCAGTGAACACTCTAATCTCAGATTTATTAGTCTTTTAATGTATCTCCTCAGCTTTAAACTCTTTATTCATCTTTTTAAAAACTAAATGTCTGTTTCTTTAAAAGATTTTTAATTAGGGCCACTCAACTGACAAAGTAATTTAGTAAAAATTTTCATTCTTTGCTGTTTAAATTTTAACACGCTTTTATTTTTTAGGTCACATTTCGGACAAGAATCTATCACTGTAATATTAACAGCCAAGGAGTTATTTGCTTGGACATATTAAAAGATAATTGGAGTCCAGCACTAACCATTTCTAAAGTTCTTCTTTCTATCTGCTCCCTTCTTACAGACTGTAATCCTGGTAAGGTTAATAATTATTTTTTTATTGTTTTTCTTCCTCACCTGAAAAATACTTGTTTTTGATAAAGTTTAAAGAGCTTTCAAGGGACAAAAACTGATCTTTTTTCAAAAAATGTTTAATGTTTATTTATTTTTGAGAGAGACAGCATGAGCAGGGGAGGGGCAGAGAGAGAGGGAGACACTGAATCCAAAGTAGGCTGTCAGCATATAACCCCATGCGGGGCTCGAACTCACAAACTGTGAGAGCCCAAGCCAAAATCAGAAGCTTAACCTGCTGAGCCACTCAGGCGCCCCT